ATCATGCGTCAATTCCATGTATCATCCTACATTAGACCGTCATTTTATATACAAACAAGAGCCCTGGATAATTAAATATTGATACATAAATTTCCTGATTATCTCTCATCTGAAATGAATCAGATGCGGATATAGGAAGAGCAGGCAGAGCAACGGTTACGGTCAGAATTGTTAAGTATTCGTGCCATTGTTTTCTGAAAATAACTTAAACATTTAGAATTTGAACGAGTGTGAAATGAAATCAGAAAAATTGCAAGAGGGCAAATGGATGCAATGGTGAACATTGCTTGATATTTGGAGGGAAGATTCATGAAATGTAAAGAATTATTATAGAACTCTGGAAAACAATGTAGTGATATTGTGAGTCAAAGAAAGTTTACTGGACTGGCATAAATGTGTTTACGTACTTTTCTTCTGCTGCTGAAGGGAACTGGGGAAGACAAAGGTATGTAAGATGCTGCTTCAGAAAAGAAACAAAAGGGAAGGCAGGGTGGAGAACAGAGGGGTGAGAATTTAAAGGCGTAGGATAGAACCATCATGAAGCGAAGAGAGTGATGACGCACTCATTATGTTAAGATGTGTCGAAACTGACAGCTGCAGAGCGAAACGGAGGAGCTCTCATAAGAAAACTGGTGATTGTGGTGATATAATTCATGCTAAATGATTGGGTCGTCACCTGCTCAAAATTAGAGGAATGTGGAACATTGGGACGAAGAGAATACGTTTTATTGGAAAATAATAGTTAATTGGATAATGCAAGGGATTAGACACTGGCAAATTTTAAGTTAAATTTCTGTGGTACTATACTTCCGGTTTCACAACATAATATCCAAGGATTACGAGGGAGATCTGTGTGCATAACATATATTAAAAGAGATACAAGAAGTTCTGGGAAGAACTAATCGCCTTTGATAAGATATGGAACGCAAATGAACCGACGCGTTCAAGAATTCTTCTATTGTACGGAGTGTACTTGTTGCCGCGGGAAAGTGTTTACCGACCGTTGCCTAGCGAAAAGGACGCTACTTAGGAACCGGGCCATAACGTAGAAACCGAGCCAATGCATAACAACAATAAGAGGATATACATACAGAAATACAGACAAACAGGCGAAAGTAGACTAGCAACAAAAGAATTGTTGGAGGCGGTGTTTTATCTGCGGTTCGACCCGAAGTTCTGTGAAGAGGACAATTCACGGCAATTGTTACGATATGCTGTGGCATGCTGTGCTATGCTAATTAGATCTTTCAAATCTTAGGTTGCCTTGCGCTGCAACTAACTAGCATAGCAGCGAGCAGAAATCCAAGAGCCGATGCCTACTAATGACCATCGCTTAGGAGCATCTCAAACTGCACTACTCCTGCTTTCTGGCCTCATGTCACATGCCACATATGTGTTTATATGCTATTGTAATGGCCATATTTTCTGGCTCAAATTTCCGGTCTTCAGGTGTCGGGTGGGCACACTGACACGTAGAAAACAAGGCGATCTCATAAGCTTACCGTTATGCATTCTAAGTAAGGACTGTAGGCTAAAAATGAAGATAGAATAACAAAGACAAAATGAACACAAAATAATTCGTACATGTGTGATAAATTTTATATGGAGAAGCCATGATTTGGTCCACGCGGTTGCAGAATTTCGTGGCGATCGCTTGAAATGTTGCAACAGGAAAACACAATGTCCTAACCTGTTTATGTAGGAAGTTTTCCGGTGTCATAATTCACAAACATATCATGAATTCTCTGGAAAATTAATCTTAGTGGTGCTCTGTTACAAATCTATGTCCTCAGATCCTTTTTACGACGGATGTCCACATATTTGCCAGCGCCTTCAAGAGCCTAGGAGGTGAATGATGGAGGATATTTGCGTCATCTCGTGTTAAGCGCTGCCTCATCTCATGCGAACTGTCAGTATCTGTAGGTTACGTACTACCCTTAATGTCTAAGTTTGGGACACAAAACAGGAAACATGCACAGTTAAAATTCCGCAGAAGCATGGCGCTGCCATGCCTGATGTATGCCAGTGAAACATGAAGTCTTAACATATGAAAGAAGACTAGAAGTAATAGAGATGCTGTTTCTACGGTAAGTAGCAGGTTACACTATTTGGGACGAAGGTAGGAGCGACGAAATGAGGTCACGTGTAGCAATGAGGAAGCCGGGCAAACAAATATGCGAAAGGAAGAAAAACTGGATGCGAAATCTACAGAGGGCGCCATCAGAAAGAGCTCAAAAGAACATTTTATATTGTCGACTGAATGGAAGACGTGTTCCGGGGAACATGAGGAACAGTTGGCTTGAAGTCTGAGGACGGAAAGGGCTAACAGGCTCAATTCTTGCAGATGATGACTAACACTTCTGATATTTATCCAGTGCACATGTCGCTTATATTGAGAGCACTGGACATACATTTTCTAAATACAGTATTATGCGTTATATTCATGGCACCAATTTCCTCTACCGATAAGACGACGTTTAAGTCAGAAAGGTTTACGTCCTCAAGATGTTTCCATCGGATTTTCCAAGATCATTGAAACAGCGAGTTTTCTTCTCAGGAACGTTAAGTCGTGAAATCCGTATCAGGGTTCATCCAGTACCAGAATTGCAGAGAATGTTCGCAACGCTGTTATGCTGAAGATGCTAAGAAACACATCCAACTACCTGTGCCCTAGGAGAAATTCAAACACAAAATTCCAGAGCTTCTTAGACTAATAATTATCCGTATAGCAATTTACAATATTAAGATCTCCCATTCTTCTGAAGTGGCTGGTGATTAAATAAAATTTTGCATTTGTGTCGGTTATAGAAAGTTGGATGAGAAATGAGACAATGACTGTCATCAGTGATTGAAGAGTACGGTCGCACGCTAGCTCAAGACTAGATGATTTTCCGAGTTGGTCGTAGGGTCCATAACTTGTGCCTAGAAATAATTATTTTTAGTTACAGTTTTGCATTTTTAAATATTTGTGTACATAGATGCCGTTACAGTGTTGAACTAAGTGCATTGAAATACTTGTTTTAGAATCAAGTGTATCAGTTCTTAATGAAACAATTAATATATCCGATTCTAAATTCAATGTCAGTTTCGGCGTAGCTGATTTCAAATAATTCAGAGGAAGAGTTAAATTCCATATTGTTACGTCTCCCGGCAAAGCGACAAGAAATGAATGGGTTCCGGATTAGACGAAGCTGTTTACTGGATAAGTCGTTTACAGTCACAACTGCAATAACTCTGAAATTGCGTCTTGCAGACGATGCAACCTGCCTAATCTGTTGTCTTCTGTTGTCTGTTGTTCTTAGCTGAGCTGGTTTCTTCTGCTCTCAGCTCTGCTCCGTCGCCTCTCTTCTGGGTCTCCACTCTGGTCTGATCTCATCTCTTATACTCTACAGTCGGACGGACTAGGAGACACCTTGTTCAAGGGCTCCGTTTCACGTGTTCTATGCACCGATAGCTAGTGTATTCGTTGCAACGAGAACTGCACGAGTTGCGGGATTTCTCACTTCCTTGGTAACGATTGTTACGTATTCGTTGTCGCTTGAACCTGTTTCATTGTCACCCAGACAATGATACAGAACCGTGGATACTGAGCCGTTGCCTAACAATTGACGCCTGCTTTGACTCAGGTATTCTGGCTCTCAGGCGGCACGCCACATTATGTAAGGGTATGTACAATTTTTTCTTTCTTATGTCTCCGGATGACGAATAAATCCTTTGCTTAGCGGAAGGTCTCCGACCTGATTCCACGGACAGCTGTCGTAATTTTACCGGAAACAATGCCAGCATAGAAGCATAGTGTGGTGATAACATTCTATATTAATATTCAGGAGGCACTCGATTCGACTCTAGGTGTAGGATAGAGTCTGTATTTAATGGTAACTTGATCGTGCCATAGCTCAGGTAGCTAGCCGCCGGCCTCCCACCGCGACGGCCCGGGTTCGAGACAAGGTCAGGTCATGTGGGATTTGTGGTGGACAGAGTGGCACTGGGCAGGCTTTCTCCGAGTACTTCGGTTTCCCCTGTCAATTCTCATTCCACCGACTGTTTCACACTCATCATCTATCATCCGGGCGTGGTACAATATCCCAATTAGTGGCCGACGTACCAAGTGGACTCACTCTCACCCCACCCCAAGAAACCAAAAAAAAAATACTGGGAGCTTTCTTGTTTTTCTCAGTTTCTGCAGAATGCCAAAGTGGCACCTTGACACAGGCAACTGCCGCTCCACTCCAGATCCTTACGTACAGAGACAAACAATTGAACTCCGTGGCCTGTAGTCCGCAAGCGAACTATACCGACTGAGTGACCGCCGCTTGTCGGCGAAGTTAGTGCCAAATTTTGCGGGTAGAGGGTGCCACGTGATCAGCCCAACGGATCCCCACGATCGTTAATCTCGATTTTCTAGACCGGAGCTGATATTTTCTTGCAATAGCTCTTCAATTAGCCTCACGAGGCTGAGTGGACCCCGTACCAGACCCACTACTTCTCAGAAAATCTGGTAGCGCCGGGAATCGAAGCCGGAAACTCTGACCCCTAGACCACAGCGGAGGTCATTGTTACCTACTAATAATTAATTTCATTAGACGTTGTGTAGTATCTGCAACTGAAGTAGCCTCACGTCAGCCAAAGAATCAATCACCAGTTTCATCATGGCGCTTTAGGAAAAGGTGGAAGTCTAAAATATGACTGAGAGAAGAGTGAATCTGTTCATTCGGGTTTACGTCACTGTTTCAGCAACTGAGACTACACAGCGTCGAATGAGATCCGAAAATGATCATGGATCAGTAAAGGAGAGGAAAAGAAGAGATCGTTGCCCATTTCGAAGTGCTGGTCCAGCGTTGGCCTGGAGAAAATAAGAAAACCACGAAGAGCTCTAATATGGATAGCCAGTTCTTCTCTGGGGTTCGAACTAGATAATTTCAAAATGTCAATCACTGTGCCAACAATTTCAATTGGCAAAAAGATTGAACATATTTAGTTAAAAAAATAACTTATTGACATAATACAGCTTTTGTGGCTTATATTTTCTTCAGATATCACGTTACAAATTAAACACCTTACAAGTTCAATCTATAACATTATTAAATAAAAGCATACGTGAACTAACAGATATCTACAATACTGCTGTATATTTTATAACATGTGAAATGTTCAATAATATTAAGTACATAAATTTAAGGGATACGAAATATGTTTGTACCTCCATCAAATTTAGTTAAATTTTCAGCTTGCAGGAAAAATACATTGAAAAAGGTTTCTGGTGCTTTATCACGTATCCATGTTTGATATAAAGACATACAGTACACAAAATTAAGTTACTGATAGTTAAGTTAAATATTAAGTTAGAACATAATTTATAATACTGTAATTACAACTTGAAAATGAATCTTCATATTCTTTATTTTTTGTTATTAAAAATGTGCCGCTTCTCTACCACTTCTTATCATGGGTTTTACGTCTTGCAGTCAGCTTTACTTGCGACATTTTCAAGGTCAGATTGTTGTTTACATAATCCAGCACACAAACACATATACACATGTACAGTCACTCCCTCACGCAATATTATAAATATCATAAACGCCTGTCAAGGTCAACCGAAGGTGTAGAGCCATTAAGCAATCAAAAACATATCTGAGCGAAACTGGAAAGACCTTGACTGAATTAGTAGTTTACACTATTTTCTTTATATATCTACTAGAACCACTGAAAATGTAAGCCTTTCAGAATGCTCTCGGATACTCGTAGTAGCAAGTTTCGATCTGAATGTGAAGATAATTAAGACAGATGTAGCATGATGAAAGAGAGTTGCTGTCATCTCTGGTGACCTGGAGACTGAGTACTTATGCAACAATTTTGTTGTTTATATATTGCTTGATAGAAAGTGTGAGAAGCAAAATGTAAAAGAAAGGAAGAGAATATTATATTTTGTTTCTTTAAATCTCTATTTTTGCCTCTGTGTCTCTTTTGTCACCGAAACAATGAGTGAAAATCTTTTATTGAGTTAGTCTTGAACCAAATTTCAGCCCCATTCTCACTTTGTTCTGGCAAAGTTTTAACAAACTCGAAATTAGATTGTTAACTGTGATAAGCTAAGATCGCTGTAAAACGTAGTTTTAACTTCAATTGTCTCAATCCTCTAGGCTACTTCAAAATTTATCATATGTTTTCATACATTTTAGTATGACGAATTGTTAGTTAAATTAAGTCGTGTAAACAAAATGTAAAATAAGCCACAGAAGAAGAACATTTAACTTTCTATGGCGTAGTCTTATCTACACGTACGTACCGCCATTCGTTATCTCAGCAATTTGCCGAAAGAATTAATTTTATGTGGTTCTGGAAAATAAACAGCGATTATATTCCTAAGCATTCATTAATGACATTTGTATTTGATTTATCTGTTTCCTAAGAGATAGATTTCTAGTTTAAAAAACAGGTGTTAGAGAATCCAGTGATAGTCTTTCATTTCGTTATGTAAGTTTTGTACTGTTAACTTCTCATATTTTCTCCCGTATTCCATTCCTGTCCTACGTTATCATATGCTGCGTCGAGCCCGACAATCGGCACAGTCTTCTACAAATAATAAGCAAAACTAGTCAACCGTCGTAAACCTGCTTCAAGCAGTAAGCTATACCTCACAAATCCACTTGGAAAGCTTTCAATATTCGCAGAATATGGAGGATGCACTGAAACAAAAGACTGCTTTCACGTTCGTGACCTATTGCATAACTTATATTCATGCCTTTTATATATAGGCCTTATAGACGAATTAATTAACTTATGATTTAGGAAGATAAGCAGTGTAAGTACAGGCAGACAGCCAGCAAGTCTGCGGCCTACTACCAGAGTTCGCCTGTGCCTTCCATCATGTAGTCCCTTCCGTAAGGTTGCCTACTCATGGAGTGATGCGCCCAAGATGCCTTGGACAGAGTCCAGCCCAGTTTATATTGCGGGGGCATACATTCGAACACATTAGGAAGGCCTGAAGCCAGCAAGCTTTCCGCCTAGAGTGTGGTAGATGCGCTCAGATTCGGGTAGGACGCCCAAAAATCGCCGCTCCAGGACCTGCAAAAGTTCCACCCCGTGGCCGATACCTCGGAATGCCAACGTGGCGTCGCGACCCGCGTACTCCAGCAGTATCTCTTCGCCACCGGGGTGCTGCAGGAAGAGCAAAGCAAGAGTGGCTATAAGCGTTATTGTAAGACAGTACTGTTGTATGTGCCTGAAGGTTTATCCATGTTAGTGTGACAGCAGGACATTGTCAGTAAACCACGTGGCTGTATATTGGTTATCGATCCTTTTCGAATTGTGGGGGGGAATGGCGGCCGGCTCTTCAGGCTGACAACCTCACCGCCATCTACTAGCCGATTGTTTAGCAAATGTAGGAACCTCGACGTTTCACAACCCTATGGATCTCAGTGGCCTGTTACAGGGATAGCGTTAATTTCTTGCTGGCAATATAGCCGCAAGACCGTCTTCATTCTACTCGTCAGTTTCCCAGTACCTGAATGTCGAGCAGATACATGTGGTGGCAAAAATCTAGACTTTTATTAGGGGACAATTCATTTGAACGCCAGTCAGGTTTCCCACTGTCCTGGCAGGTTTCCGTGGTTGCAGATGATATATTAGCACTGACCTTTTGCAGGAAGTCTGTGATGTCGTAGATCCTGTCGTAGATGACGACCCAGCAGTCGGCGCTATGGTCGTGCCATGCAACTTGGTCAAGCGATATAATGGGTGGAGCATTTTCTGTACCCTTTTGCTTCGAAACACGATGTGTCGGTTCACTGAGGTGGAGCGCCGTGACTGCAAGGCACAGAGCGTCTCCAGCAAGTGATAACAGTTCCGCCTATAATGAATGACAGAAATAACTGTTAGGAATTTTGGAGCTTAAACAAGAAATAAGCGTACTATTAGTACTGGACCAAAATTTGAAACTGCTACGTCAGCAATGGATAGTGACGAATCAGCTATTTGTTTTTAATTTCTTGGGGTGGGATGGGACTGAGTCCGTCTGGTATCGCCATTATTTGGCCTACTATACCAGTCCCGGATAACAGGTGATGAATGTGGGGCAATCGGTGGAATGAGAATTGGCAGGGGAGACGGAAGTACTCGGAAAATACCTGTTCTAATGCCGCTTTGTCTATCGAAAATCCCACGTAACCTTAACTTGGATCGAACCAAGACCGCTGGGGTGGGAAGCCGGCGGCTAATCGCCTGAGCCTGGGAACGGCCTGGCGAATAAGCAGAATGCAGCAGATTTGCAGTGTAACTAATGGAGAAGTTTCGAATCTTCGCATCGGCTCATTAGTGTTACCAGCAGAAGAAAGCAATTCCTTCAACCCATGAAACAAATTGATTTTATGGAAATAACCTGTCACGAACTTTGTCAATTATATTTTGATTCTGAGGCAAAACACAGACTTGAATGTTATGTTGGACACTGACATTTCCGGAGCTTGCTGTGCTTCCGTTTCCCGTAATTTTTATGCTTGTGATCAAACCTGGGAGCTCTTGAAAACTGAGGCAAATACTCAGAATTACTGGGGTGGCGTTCTTTGTTCATCGTCCGGTATTCTCAAAAACTAGAAAACACAACGTTTCGGAGATTGGATCTCTTTCCTTCCTCAGGTGAGGTGGGAAATTAGCTCTTTCTAAGGGACCAAAGAGCGTAGGCGTCTCCTTCCACACTTGAGGACGGAAACAGATCCAATTTACAAAACGTTGTGTTTTCTAGTTTTTAGAATATGGACAAAATCCGAAACCCCAGTAATTCTGAGTGTTATACACCATCGTTAGAACCCTTTAGAATCTAACTCTTACAACTTGGCGGTCCCGTACTAGATGTCATTACATTATACATGCAGCAATATCTCATCTCTTGGCGGAGAGAACTACATGGAACTCATGTCTAGGCCTACTCTCTTCTGGTGGACACTGTGTTGCGTGCTACACGAGCAGTCACCTTGCCCACCGCTTGGATTCACATTATCTCACCTTCTGGCCAACAGTTGCTTTGACTACCGCAAGGGCAGCAGACGTGTCATCGCCTGTTGCCAAGGGACTGAGCATGATATCCACTCGTGTGTCTGCAGGAGTGTGGAACTCGTACTCTGAAAACACAGCAAGTAGAACCGCTCAGCTGCTGCGAAGTTGTTGACGTGCTAGTGCACGTTACAATTTCCTCGGCCAAGCGTGTCGACAGTCTCTTGTCTCCCCACAATCTGAGGGCATCCGATTTACATTTTGGAGGTATCTACTTTGAATTCAGACCGAGCTGAATAATGTGCTGTCATTTACGTAATATCACAAAGCAAATATTCGGAGGTGTTTGTTATCGGCTCGATTGAATAGGATATCGAATGACAGATCCTAAAGAATTTATTCTTGATTTATCTAGCGACGTTTTGCGACTGTGCATCTTTCATGCATTCGAATGGGACAATAACTGCAATAATTAAAAAGTAAGGGATTGGAAGGAAACGGTTGCCATTTTTAAGACACAAATGCCAACTCCAGCATTTCCCGGATGGAACGAGGAACACCACAATGACTCCAGATTACGGTCTTCTTTGATGTGACACCATATATATTAACATATAAGTACCAACATTTCGGAGTAACTTATTGCATCCATCTTCAGGATTTCTTCTAACATGAAGGTGGAGGCCACAGGTTCCCCCAGAGCCGGTGTGCATGTACTACGCTATGCGATTATACACCTCAGAAGGTCGCAATCTCGACACTCAACAGCCTTGAGCACTTAAAAACTTTCATTTTATAACTCTTGCCAGAACATCCGGCCTTCGCGCTGTCAATTAATCGAACAGGGGACCTTCCGAACACGAAACAAAGTGGCGATCTCTCGACCGTAAATGTCGGGGCACAGAAATTGTGGAAATAAAAGAAAACTGTGCAGAAAATAGATAACTTGTGGCTATGGTATGGATAAAATGGAATGTCACAGATGACCAGAAAACTAGTTTACTGAATAGAACTGGGAAATAATAATAGGGCGGGTGTGGTTTGCAAAAGAAAATCGAAAATATTAACAGGATGAGCGTCTAAATATTTTAGTCATGGGGCGAAAGATGTAAGATCGTATTGTGAAAATTACCATGTACTTACGAGTATTTCCAAATCTTGGTTGTTATGATCACTGTGAGTAAGAAAATCAAATAGGGTTTCAGTTGATTTAGTAAGCTAGAGACTTGTGCACTGGTAACTGAAACGTGAGAGAAGTCGGGCGTAGTTAAATTTGTAATTGATATAAACATCTCGAAACCTTGAAATATAATGCTTATTCGGTTCCTCTTGCAAATTGCCTAGCATGTTAACATTATTGTTTCCGACTTCTTATAGAGCAGATTTGCGGTAATTTTATGACGTTTATTGCCAGAGAAACTCGATAAATTAAATTTTATAAGCAAATAAATCTCCGTATTTACGTCAACGATATTTCAAGGCCAGGCGCATCCCATGTGTGTTCACGTGATTTCTGTGCCCTCTTGTTATCAGCTCGAGCCCCCTCTGTGGAAGCCGAGCCTCCGTCGCATTAAGATAGAGTTGTTTCCACGGAAAAGGTTCAATGAATACAGGGGCAATACCAAGGTCATGATGTTCCCAACACTAGAGAACCAGCTTCGAGATTGAACCCTCTCCAAGTTAGTTTGGATTTAAAGAGATTTTCTGTTACTGTATGTATAAGGTTAAAAGTAATGTCTACCGGTGAAATCTCACAAGTACATGATTAAACTTTTATGAAAATAAATCGAATCAGAAGCGTCTGTCATGAACAATATACTTTTTATGTAGTATATAAAGTATCCTTCGAAGATGGAGGAAGAGAAAGGCTTAGCCATCGCAACATGATTCCTCTCCCCACACCTTGAAAAGGAGTAGAGCACCAAGAGGTAGAAGCAAATTGTTGCCAAATTAAATAGTATCAGATCAACTAATTAACTAGCTAATTAACTAATTCCATGGAGCTCAGATTTTCTTGGGAAGCCACCAGTTACCCGACTTTTCAAGAATTTGTCAGTATTTTATGGAACCGAACGTACATTACCATGTTCACAAGAGCCCTCCACTTATAATGAGCCAGATCAATCCAGTCCATACAACCCCATCATTTCTCTCTAAGATACATTTCAGTATTAACTTACCACTTAGTCTAGTTCTTCCTAGTTGTCTCTAACCTTCTGGCTTTACTATCAGAATCCTATATACATCCCTCTTCTCACCCAGGCGTGCTACATTCCCTGTCCATCTCATCTTCCTTAACCTGATCATTCTAGTTGTACTTGGCGAAGAATACAAGTTATTAAGCTCCTGATAATACATTTTTTCCAGCCTCTTGCAATTTCATCCGTCTTTGGTTTAAATATGCTCCTCAACACCCTCAGTCTACGTTCCTCCCTTAATGTCAGAGACCAAGTTTCACACCATACAGAACCACAGGCAGAATTATAATTTTGTATATTCTGACCTTTATGATTTTAGACAGCAGACGAGAAGACAAAAGGTTCTAGACTAAATGGTAGCAAGCATTACTTGAGTTCAATCTCCTCTTAATTTCCTCCTAAATTTTTTCTTCAGTAATGACGAATGCAAAAAAAAATCTGATCAGTAGTTGATCTGTTAGTCGAAATACACACTGAAGATTCTAAATAATTTCTTCTACGCATGGACTCAACCCTGAAAAAAGAATATTGATTCAAATTTTATATGAACTTAATAAGAGTGATATCCAACCATAATTACGACGATCAGTTTTATTGCCCATCTTCTAAACTCTTACAATAATGGACTTCTTCCACTTATCAGGCAATTTTTCCTTACTCCAAATAGAATTAATGGGTTCATGGATCTCAGACCGTAATGTTTCACCTCCTTTATGAATCAGTTCTGCTGGAATGTCATTACTGCCTGGCGATTTATACTTTTTCAACTATGCAATAGCAATTTAAATTTCGAATGGACTAGAATCAGGTACTAAGAGCTCAACTGTATGCATTTCTATCTGCCTAATATCTCTGACACTATGTACATTCAATAACTAAGAGAAATAGTTCTTCCACCTATTCAAAATATTGTGCGAATCTATAATCACCATTCTCAACATTCACTAAGTTACTTCTAGTTTTGTAGACGGTCTTAAATTTATTCATTTCTATACACAGGTCTCTAATTTCTTATTCTTACTGTTCGTTGCAAGCTCATTAATTTTGTTCTTCAGATATTCTCTCTTTTTGTTCCTGAAATGCCTGCTGGTTTCACGTGTTGTATTGTTCAGATTATCCCCATTTAACTCGCCTGGATCTTACAATCACTGCAATATTATTTCTTCAATTCATAGCAACCTAGATGTTATTTGACTGAAATTTTGATATTCTCTCTCATAGTTTCCTAAGCTCTATCATTTTCCACCTGAGTGTCTAAAATTTCCAAAGCTGAGAACCTATTTGAGATTTCAGAACAAAACAATTGCTTTCCCTCTACCTCATTTAATTTTAAGAGATTTAATCTCTCCATATGAAATATGTGCCCTCATCAAATCAATACGTTTCCAATTAACACAGTAGCTAGGTGCAGAAACAAAAGCGTCTGTCTGTGCATGAGAAAAGAAATTACTTTGGTATTATGCTCGTATGGTCTCACTTGATAGTGGTTGCATTCAACACAGTCGCAATCAAAATTCGATAAGAATTTTTTGTTTCTCCTTTCCGAGGTATATGCCCATACTGCCTTTAGCATATCAAATTACCTGCCATAGGAATAATGGATAAGCTGCGCAATAAGGAAGTTTGTATTTACAGTATAAAATTGCTTTCTCTTCACGTCATCTGTAAGGTTGAGATATATTTAATAATATTTTTCTTTCATAAGCTTATGCTTACAATTTATATTCTTTCACCGGAATAAGAAATCATAGCTATTGCATAAGCATAATAATAACGGTTATAAAATAAACACTCACTAAAGTTATAATTTATATCACCGAGTGCCACAGGGAAGCTGATAAATTAATATACATAAGATATAGCCACTTCCACCGAGAAGTCCATGCCAACAGTTAGTTTAAGATGCTTAATCTGACATACGGACTATATAGTCCGAGGTAGAAAGTTTAGTAATAATGATGAAATATGTTGTAGGTAGCGGTTCCCGTCCCTTATAGGAGACAATTTGCAGTTTTTCATCAATTACCGAGGAAAACCACGAAATAAGCCTTCAGCCAGAATATCCGGTTCCCGATAGGCGACTTTAACCCCGGATTACTCAAATACAATACAGGGGAACTAGCCCTGCTCTCTTTTCTTAGCATTTAGCTACTTTTCTGTTCTCATTTTCATTTCCGTTAGAGTACAGCACGGCTTTCAGAGTCCAGTCCGTTAGTCCATCATACAAACTAAGGTAGACTTACTTAGACACAGGACGAAGAAGCATAGGGAACAGCGATACATATGTTCCTGTATACTGTAGATCCTATCACTCTACAGTGAAGCCTCTGAGTTTCTCTCTGTTGGGCGACACAAGTAACTAAGGGGCTTTATTCCCAGGATAACCGTACATGCATTAGGAAACAAGGAAACCCTGTAAGTACATTCTTATGCAACAAAGAAACCCAGAAATTTAATTCTGAATGAAAACCCAACCCAACATCGGCAGAGTATTTCTGCTTGGAAGACCCTACGGCAAGAGCTGTACTGGAGCATGGGTGGTTCAGGGCTGCGTCCGGCTATTTGAGCGTGATGGTGCTGTCCTCGCGTTCCTTTTAAAGACAGGCACGTCAAACACAGGAGCGTAACACAAGGACAAGGGAGGGGGGTGGGTGTAAAATGTAAGATACTGAATATGCCGCTCTGGAGACTTAGCAAAATTTTAAACATAAAAGCTAGACAGAATGCAATGTTGCTTTAGTAATAGAGTTTCGCCATTTGTATTATCTGTTAGAAATGGAATTAAATGCAGGCGAATACAGGACAAGCCTGCAGAAACCACTCACTCATTCGGATACAAGGACGGTCACTGAGCACTACCGAAGGAAATTTATATTTTCTGTGCGTACACTCTTCAAATCACGTCAGTATTTAAGATCTGATGCTTTCACGGCGGTGACTATGAAGAAAGCAGTCTTCTGGGATTTGGCACCGTGTATATATGGTGTTAACCGACGTTTCGGAGGAACGTATCGCCTCCATCTCACGGTCTCTTCGCTTGCAGATTTCTTATATTTTTTCTTCTACCCTGAAGATGGAGGCGATACGTTCCTCCGAAACGTCGGTTAACACCACATATACACGGTGCCAAATCCCAGAAGACTGCTTTCTTCACGTCAGTATTACCTAATAAACAGCTATAATAATTTGTTATAATTTTCAGTGCTTTACATTAAAATGTAACTTAAACGCTTTTAAAATGCTTCAGAAAAAATGTAGTAACCGTGGTTTCAGGATCACAAAATAGCACGTGAGTCCACGAACGTAAGGACGTTAAGTAAGTACCATGAACAAAAACAATTGTTCAGCAAATTTCAGGTCTATTTTTCTGTGCGGACGAGGGAGTTCTAAACAAATCGCACCTTAGAGAACACAACATTTTCCTGGTGCTCCCGCGCCTTCCTCTCGCAGATTCATCCATCAAGAAGCTCGTCAGCCATGCAATTCGCTTCGGTAGGCGTTGCTTTCAGGTCTCGTTAGTCTGCCCGCCCAACTGAAGCGTCCGAGAAGTTGCCGCTACATCACGGCGACAGTCCTGCAGGTTTCTCTACTTACTCTCGTTTCCTGCAGGACTTGTTGTACGTTTCATGTACTGAAATTCAATTTAATCCACGTGTCCTACATGGAAGGAAAGAGGCGGCATCTCTCTTACTAAGTTCGGTCGGGTAATGGAGTTCCAAATGTAAAGTAGTGCCAAAAATTATTGGTGCCCGATAAGCCTATTCTCCGGATGACTGGAAAGCACAAGGAAGATGAGAAATACGTGGGATATTCTGGTCGCAAAATCTTCAGTTGAATTACAGTTCAGAGATCTAGATATTAGAGGAAACATAATGTTAAAATTTATTTCAGAGAAATAGCGCTTGAATTACATGGTCAACAATCACTATGAATTACATAGTTTTTGAAATTATAATCGATCACGCTGATTAAAATTGCAGAACTGTTCAAGACAAATCAATTGTATCAGTCTAACGAAGTTTGCTGCAATTTGCTTAGTATCACAGATTTCGCTCGTCTATTATGTGACCAGGCATCAATAGACATTCAGAATTATAATTCTAAAATTCATATAATACAAAATTTAGTATATTTAGGATAGTGAACACTTCTTTATAATTGTGCCTTAATCTGAGAGTATTAGCAAATAACATGAGACAGAATCTACTTCAACTCGTTCGTCTGTTTGTTTAGAGGTCGCGGACAATAAGTATGCCTTTATTGAAAATTTTACAATATAATTTAATATGGGGATTTTAAAAGAAGTTTTATATATAAATTAAATTATTTCCCATATAGAGCAATATGAACTACCTAGTTACCTAATACAATCCATACAGTTCAAATATATCTCACTACATACGCCCTACATCTGTTAAAATTCCTCAGGCAACATCTGTAGGTACCAATGATACATACTTATCGTAGATATTTCAACTCCATAATATAAAATTAATTTGGACAGGATACTGAACAAGTTTAATCTATACCATCTTAACACCCTGTCCCTTTACGATCCATCTTATTGTTATCCATCTCTTTCTTGGGCTTTCAAGTAGTCGAAAATGACATGTATGTACCATAGGGTTCTTGATTTACAGTATTCTAAATTACAAACATTTTCACGTTTCATTCGACTTTCGTCTAATTATTTTACTGAACGCTTTAACTTCAAACACTTTCATCTTTCTTTCTGGAAATAAGGGCACATGTTTCACACTGATACAAAAAGTGTAAAAACTATTCCTTTGAGATCAACGTAACTGTACGTATATACGAGGTAACAGGACAGTGTAGATTAGTGTGCCCACTTATACAAATATATCAAAATAAAAAAGAATAAGAGCTTGCAAAATAAAAGCGACTAATGACCAGTATTTATTAAAAATCCTGAAATCCTTCTGAAAAGTTGGCTGCTCTTACCTGTGTACTTCCGCGGGGGTGTCGATGTGATCCGTGGTGCTTTCTGCGTCCGTGCGAGCGAAGTGACGGAGGTAGGCTGGCCGTCCACCAGTTAAATAGTACGTGCTGATGTAACTGTTCGTCTGACGACATCAGGAATCGTGTTTGCATGACTGAACCCATTGGTTGCCACCACCGACAGTGCTTTCCCATTGGTCGAGGTCGTCATGTTACTCGGAGGCTTACCTTACCACAAAGTGAGCGTACTCAACATTGATCCAAAAGCGAATGACATATTCTGGCTTCGACGTTTGGAACAGGTGTTGGGTTCCACTTGAATTCTCCACCATATTGAGAAACTGATTTCGATTAATTTTGTCTACTTAATTTAAAACTTTCTTCATCTTCCACCGAGAGCAATAGTTTCATGTAAAGACAGTAAGTTATGCCTTCTCTTTACTGAATTTTATTACAGCGATACCAAACCATGCGTCCCAGCGCTTTCGAGGCAGCCTCGTAGACGAGAGCTAGCCTGTTCGAATCCTGGAGACCGTGACTGAGATATTCGTGGTTTTCCCTAGTCCCGCCATACGAATGAAGGAAGTGTACCCTCAAATAGACCACTAATGTTTCCTCTTCCCTTATCCGAGACACAGTAATTTATATATAATTACCAATCTTTTTCAGTCAATGAAATATTATCTGACACAGAGTCGTTAAGAAAACAACCGTGTATGTTACTCTGATAGAAGTTCGATAGATGAATTTATGGGACAAAATATTGTGTTGGTGTTGTTTACAGTTTAAGCCCACACACAGTTTAGATTATGTAACGCAAATGCATATTCTTCTTAGAGTTCTCCAATTTTCATAACACATTATCTCATAGAATTACATGGTAAGGGCTGCACAAATTGTGCACTTTATAAAAAGACGTGAAAGTGGTCAAGTCAAGGGGATGAGTGGGGAATACTGCCTACGCCATTATAATTGTGAAACCTTAAGGAGAAAACAAAGGCGTAAACAGGATTTTGATATTTATATTGTCACATAAAGTGGTGACTTATTAGACGGGGTTCTGGATTGGATGTATTGGACTTCCAATAATCCACTCGGAACTACAGGCAATTACAGCGCTATCGCTATTTCCAAATTTTACAGTTAACTGTTACACATAGCAGTGACCTCAGCCTATTAAACTCCGCACTAGTTGTGTCCTGGCAACGGATTTATAACAGTCTCGCTGTAGCTTCAGATCACTCATAGTCTTCATTACATAGCCTGGTTCCTTTCCTGTCAGTATTCTCAATCACCTTCAACTGTTGACTCTCTCAATTCTCTGCTGCAACTGCCAACTCGACTCAGTTCTAATTTTCGTAGCTGCGTGAGATCCTCGTTATATAGCCTCGGAGTGAACCCACAGAAATCACCGTTTCCCATAATGTTGCGTGATGATTCACTGCTGCAGAGATGCGTTTACCGCACAGATGCGTAGCAACGAGGGCGGCGCGGTCTCACAGAGAACGTCACATGTAGCACCTTTTATATTGTTACGTGACGTCACAGTGTACATGACGCGTTCCTCTGTTGCGTGTGTACAGGCCATTACCTAGCAACAACTGTTTCTTGCAGCCACAATTCTTGTTTTGAGCAAGTACGTCACGATATGGATGCAATAGGATATAAAATTGTGGACTGGGTTTATTTTATTCAGAATATGGACCAGTGGCGAACTCTAGCGAATGAAACAACGAACCTTGAACCATAGAATATTTGATTGTCTGAACGTCTCTTAGATTCCGTTTCATGCAGCTGTTTGTTTTTATCTTGTTTATCCTCAATTTCTTTCCAAGTACCCATGCTTCCCTGCTTCCCATTGTTATATTTGAATAAAGAAAAACCAGGTACCTAAATATCCAGATCGAATTTTAGTGGAAATCTCTGTAGAGGTATGATAAATTTTGGACCGAATTATACAAGTACCCAGGTCTCATTTTCGTATGCCCTTCACTTCCAAATTTACTATCACATTTTAGTTCTAGATTTACTGAACTGAAGTGTCCACTCTTCTGGGATATAATGTCGTGTGTTCCACTGAATGGTCAACCGACGTTTGGGAGTAACATGCCGCCTCAATCTTCAGAGTGCAAAAAAAGTGAAGGAAAAACCAGCATGAAGCAGAAAGCAAACCACTACTATCTGCTTCATGCTCGTAATTTCTTGGCTTATTATCCGACCTTGAGTATGGAGGCGACATATTCCTCAGAAACGTATGTAGACTTTCAACTGGCTACACGGTATTGTTATAACAGGAGATCGGACTCTTCGTAACTCTTCGTAACCACCGCTGAATAACTTCAAATCCTATATTTACTGAACTCGTTTCGCTGAGCCGATTCTAATATAAGATTAGAAAAATCATCCTTCCAACTGAAATGTCACTCTTGAACCACTTCTTTCGATTACCGATTACCATTTCAGACACAACTTCAGTAACGCTGGTTCTTTGGAATTTCTAGGTCGATGTGCTTCTTGACATGATGGCAGTCATAAACTGAACACCAACTAGCATTACAACAAACACAAGAAGAGATCATAAAACACAGCTGCACCAAATACAGAAAAGCAAACCAAAAGGCATCTGTGTTAGTACCCTGAATCATACAGAACAGAAAGCAAGCAGTAAAGATGTCTTTAGCTGTTAACATATATTAAAGCTTGGCTTTTAACATTCTCTTTTAATCAATCAAGTCTGAAGCTTCGACAAATAACATTGGAGTGTAGAAATATTAATGCAAAAAAATAACAAAATAGGTACTAATATATTATCTAATTATGATAGTATTATTGATCGAAACACATCATAAAATCAGTTAATATGTGAGTTTAAATGACATTTGCCTGGGACATAAACTAAGTGTTCCGAAGGAATGGCTAGAACCTTGTTAATGCAGGCAGTGTACTCCTTTGAAGGGTGGAGTTACATCTTCACTCCCCAATGTCCTTTCATGCCAAAGTGCTTTATTAAGTAACTGATTACAAGAATAATTTTAACCGTTTACTACTTTAGCTTCAATGCAGTACAGGCGATGGTCGCACAGAGGGCGCAACAGCAACACGATCCGTCCGTCTTGCTGTTTTTAAGTTAACCTGTGAACGGCTGATATAACGTAGTGATAACGTCTTTTGAAATCGCATACAAAATTTGTTTGAGAATCTGAAGATAAGACACTACCTTGAAAATTCAGACATGAACTGAACGGGAAATTTTAAGATTGGAACAATAGCAATGAGCGATGAAGATGTGAATTGGACTGAATTGCTTAAGGTCCAATGACGGACTTTTGTGAAGAGGTCGATGAACGTTCTGGTTCGACAATAGCGAACCGCATGGCTCTCGGCCGCTTAACGAAGAACCCCTGGCACGTAGTTTTTTTGTTATATTGAATATAGTTTGGTATGAGAAAACCCGAGAACATGAAAGAACAATTAAGCAAAAACTCCAAGAAACTTATGCTTGAGCTACTGAAACTACGTCACTTTTATTTTGACGCGTGAGTGTTGACCTTGATGGAAGCCGCTTCAACCAATCCTGCCCATCATTAGTGGTCCCATGACTGATAAAATTAGTAGACCCTACACACTGAGTTATGCAAGTTCATATCATCGGGCATAGCGCCAACCGATTCATTAAAGCGTTCTGCTTGTATTTATATGCACTAGTCCAGTAATTAACTGGTGCCCAGCAATTTGAATGCTGATGAACCATTATTGTCAAGGATTTCCTTCCACAACCAATATAACTCATTTTCCTGCCGCAAGCCTTGTGTTTACTCCCATATTTAGGTAATCTTGGACCTTACTTCACCAACACAATGCAATTTAATTCACGGATTGGGATGCCGGGTTCGGAAGTAGATGGTCGTAGAATCGAATTCTATTTGGGCTAGAATATTGCATATTTTTACATTATTATTATTAATAAGCTCCTTCGGGTTCTCTGAAGCTTATGTTAGCTGAATTCGCAGTTACTTAACCAACAGACAATCGCGGGTTCGCGTTTCTGGCACTCTCTCCCTGCCTTTTCGAGTAACATCCGGTGTGCCGCAAGGCTCTCTTCTGGGGCCTTTTCTCTTCACCGTATTCATTAATGGCCTATGCCAATCTATTAACTATTGTAAACTTTTAATCTTTGCTGTTAATCTCAAAACTTGCCGCTTGATTAATTCATCACATGATTGCATCTTACTCCAAACCTACATTAATTTTGTGAGTGACTGGTGCACTGTTAACTCCATGATACTTAATATTGTTTAAAGTGTGTTGTGTCATACATCAGGGAAAAAATTTCTGAGTTACGAGTATCAGCTTTGTCATGCTGCCATTACACACACCAGCAGTATTAAGGACTTGGGTGTTTTCTTTGATTAAAACTTATATTTTCACAGTCATGTTAATTACTTATCTTTTTGAATGCATAAAGCTTTGAAGCCTTATTCGCTCCATAACATACAGATTTTCCTCCCTGGAATCTTTGTATGTACTACACTTTACTTTAGTCAGGTCCAAGTTGGAATATGCATCGGTAGTTTGGAACTCCATCACCTCGACTGATGCCAATAAGCTTGATCCCATCCAACAGAAGTTTGCATCCGTCTGTTTCTGTCGTTCTTTCCTTCATGCTCCATATAATTATAATTTTGCTTTAGAGAATTTAAGTCGACATTCTTTACACAAAAAGAGACATCATACTGCTGTACTTTTCTGTTCAGGTGTATTGTGGCCTCAAATCCTGAATTTCCCTTTTGGAAAATGTTAGCCTTCGTGTTCATCCCATCCAGTTTAGGGACTTCTCGATATTTGGTGTTTGTTCCTCTAATAAACACTGTCCTTCTGCTCGGTGCGCATGTCAAAGCCGTGGGTAAAGATCTCGACATATTTGCAGTCGGAGGGGTTTCTGTCAATCATATTTATACTCACCTGCCTATAAATTTTAATAATGTTTGTTCCTAATCCTTATGTTCTGTATTTCATAGTCCTTAGTTATCGTGTTCGTGTTATCTCTCTTAATCTTGTTTGTTTTTGTGTTTACTTTT